TAATCTCTTTCTTATTCATATATAATAACTGAATAATTAACTTTTATTAAAAATAAATGTTTGTGAACGCAGCACATATACACTTGTATGCTGAAGCCGAGTTTAACCAAGCTGGCTTTAGTTGTGATGTAGCACATTAGCAAGCTGTAAACCAAATTGGTATTCTGCAAGTTTTTCTTCTTCTTCAATCAGTCTATACAAATGGAATGCTAAGAATTTACATTATAATTGATACATGTCAGGTATCAATATACAGCTATTGCATGATTCTACTCAGAGTTCACCAGAAATAATTATTAAATAGAAAGAAAACTACTGTGATATTAAAACGCTTTTCAAATTAGTTTTATAAGATTAACTGTGTTGCGTGTACTTCGCCTGAATTATTACAATAAAATGTGAAATAATGAATTTATTATTTATACTGATGTTGGCAAGATAAATAACAAATACACTTAACTTGTCTGAGAAAAACTCCATAATCTACTTATTTTTAACTTGGTTAGAAATACCACAAAGCACAAACAGCATCACAAACTTTGATCATCTCTATGAGGATCAACTATAAAACACATCTTAATAATAAATCGCCATATCCTGCATAAAATAAAACCACAATGTTTATTTTGGTGGAAATTATTATCTCCGGACCGGTAATTGTCTAAGAATCTGAACATACATATCAGGTCAATAGCACATAATAAAAAAAAAGAATTCTTTGAGATGGTTGACCTGTGGTATTCGTAATATGATCTAGCCAGTTAATTTCTCAGCTGCGTGTTAAAATAGGTCATGAGGTTTATTATTATCTGTATTCATAGATAGAATATTATCGTAACTTATCATCGCTTTAGTTGATAATTCCACTCTTAGCTGCATTCTTTGCAGGATATTAACTCCAATACACGGCACATCAAGATATGTTTTACTCTAGGAGTTTCAGGTTTAAATGATATTCAATTCAATATCATTATCAAACTAAAATTAAACAAGCTTTCATATTAAATTTAATAAAATATACAATTAGTTTAATTTTAATTTGCGTTATTTACCATGATACATTTGCGCATCCTTACGATTGATGTTGATGTAAATTTCAATTTTAACACATCGTCTTGTGTCACCATTAAACATGTGCACCAGTATTGTCTGATATCTATGGAGGTTTTTAGGAGGCGATGTAATAAATCATTGCCCCCCTCTCCCAATCTGGTTTGTGAAGTACATGTATTGACAGTTTACAAATAAAACATGTCATTCCGGAAATCTGTGGAAACATTATGAACGTGAGATTAATGCTATGTTGGAATCTTTGTCGAAACAATCATAAAATGTGACAATGACTTTGACATATGAGGGTATTCACCTCAAACCCTGGTAATCTCATTATAACGGCATACACACATGATTACCAATCTGACTGGCACTGACTAAATTTTGATGATTTTGGTGATGTTTCTTACACTTGCAGCATGGGAGGCAACATGTACTATCACATCCACATAGTATCAATGCTATAGCAGAGTCGCTGAGTTCTGACAGCATCAAAACCAAGACTGCAGTATTAGAAATATTAGGTGCAGTTTGCCTGGTTCCAAATGGACATAAGAAAGTATTACAAGCAATGTCCCACTATCAGAAGTATGCCGCTGAGAGAACCAGGTTCCAGGTAAAGATAACATTTATTATTGCTTTGCTAGTACTCTAGAAAA